TTATAGGAAAGTAGCTAGAAAAAAATGTGGCAAAAGTATAAAAAGTGTCAATCCCCAAAAGGTTTAGAGTGATAGTGCTACAGAACTTTAACTTTTTCCTAAAAGCTGTAGAACACTAATAGGAGAGGGGAGTAGAAAAACCAAACTGCATTACGTAAAGGTTACACTAGATCGATTGAGCATGGATTGAAGTAGAAAAAGGATGGAGATAAGGAATAATTTAGAGGCTACTATATAACCCAGGAAGAGGGCAGGAAGGACTGAACCAAGCCAGAATGCACAAAAACAGGACGGCTTTGGAATACAACACAGAAATGGCAATATAATTGCTTAGTTACTAACCAGATGTGGAAGTTGTAAGAGGAGTCTGTTTCTGGCTTCAGCAAAAGTGTAAATGGTGGTACCACTTGAAACACGGGAACAAGGCAGAACAAACAGGTATAGGGTGCACTGATGGGCTGTTGGGGAGGAAGGCTGACTCACTGTCCAAGCATCTTCACACTGAGTTTGAGGTGGAGGAAGGACGCTCAGCAGAGAGGGATGACTTGCACAAAGGTGTCTGCAGCTGGGAGAAGCAGACTATAGATGAGACTGGGAATCCTAGGTGCAGAGCCGGAAGCTGAAGCCATGGAAGATGAGATCATTGATAAAAGTGCTAGAGGGAGGAGACAGGAGAGAGAGAGCCTGAAGAAATCAAGGCAATCTGAGAAAGAGAAGCCCTAAAAAATGGGTGAACAGCCAGAGAAGAAGACAATACAAGAAAATATGGTATGAGGGAAGAAAGGCATGGTCAATAACGTCACAGGTCAAAGTAGAGTAAGAAGCCCCTCACTGCCTCTGTAAACTAGAAAGCTAACAGCACTCGAGAGCAGAAGTTTCAGTGGGGAGGCTAAGATAGAAGTATGGGCAAAAGGCAGCACATGTGGTAAGGAGAGAGAAACAAACAGCAGGGAGTGTTCTCTGAAGACCCTATGTGTACCTGTGCACACATGCAAGCATCCACATAGGGAATGAAGGGGATGCAGTGAGATGAAGGTTGACAAAACATGGACGGGAGCATGTCTAGATAATAAAGGAGAAAAATAACTAGAGGGGAGAATGAAGTACACAAAGAAGAGTGGTAATGACAGAGTAAGGTCCACAAGGAGGACCGAGGAATTGAGGCAGAGAACTAGCCTGGGGCGAGAGGAGGGAAGGCTCTTCACCAGGGATTTCTGCAATGGATGAGCACAGAGGGAAGGAAGTTTCCTGGTGGTAGAATATAAGTTGAAGAGTTGTTTCTTGACTTTTAAAATTGAAAACTTAAGGAAAGATGATAGTCTGCACACATGGGCCCAAAGGCTGGAAAAACCAAAGACTGATTATAGAATTAAAGGTCTGAAGAGATTTAAAAAAAAATAAAAACAGCAAGGCAGTTAAGTAATATGCTACAATAAATGAACTAAAACTCCTAGTGAAGTCAAAGAACTAGAATGAAAGAGCCAGAATGACAGAAAGTAGCACTCAAGGTAGCACAGTATAAGATTTCAGGGGTAGGCTGGGCACAGTGGTATACCCCTGTTTTTCCAGATACTCAGGAGACTGAAGCAGAGGATTACAAGTTTAAGGTCAGCGTGAGCAACTCAGGGAAACCATCTCATTAAAATGAAAAGGAATAGGGTACAACTCAGTTATACAGCACTTCACTAGCACTTCCCTAGTGTAAGATCTTGAGTTCAATCCCCCAATACGGGGGGAAAAAATTCAGGGGTGAAGATGACTGAAGGTCAAAGTCATGAAAGCTGCAGAGATGTAGGAACTCTAAGGCTGGGGAGTCTATGGTGCTTATACAGAGACATGAAGTCACCAGGATGAAGGTGGTACTGGTGAGGAGAAGAGGGTGACTGGCAAGACAGTAAGACACCAGAAGTAAGGAAAGCTGAATACCACAGCAGTACTGAGAGATGTTCAGATGGCACGAGTCTTTGAGGATATCCTTTTCATTTGCAGACCAAAGGGCAGTGGACTGGAGCTGGAGATCCTGGTGTGACAGGGGAAGCAAGAGTAAGCAGCCCTTACCTAAGAGAAATCATGAGATGTTTGCTCAGGGCACCAGGCTTCAACCATGGCAAAAAAGGAAAAAGCACTCACTGAGGGTTTGCTTCCAGAAGACTAGAAGTGTTGGCAGGAAGGGCAGCAAGGGATAGAGGGACAGAGATAGAGGGACAGAGGAGCACCTCCTCTGAGCAAGAAATGCCTTTTCCTAATACTAGGCCCTCACAAGGCTCCCTCCTCTTCATTGAAACAGCCTACAGGCATCAGAACCTGGTACAATGACCAGCGGATGGAAAGCTGATGTGCACTTCTTTTTTTCTTGCAGTGCTGGGTTGAACCTAGAGCCTTGCACAGGCCGTGCAAGCTCTCTACCACCAAGCTACACCTCAGCCCTTGACAAGCAATGTTTTTGGATTTAACCCAGGTGTTAACCACTAAGTCACACCCCCAGCCCTTTTTTATTTTTTGAGACAGTGTCTTCCTAAAATGCTTAGGATTTCACTAAGTTACTGAAGCTGAGTTCAAACTTGTAATCCTAATGATTCAGTCTCTCGAGTCCTGGGGTTACAGGCGCACACCACCAAATCTAGCACTGACTAGCATATTTTAAACAGAGGTCTCCTTGCAGCCTTCAATTGCAAGTATCCAACAGCCAGTTAGGAATATATGTGTAAAAGTTAGGTGATAAGTGAAGGAGTTTTACTTACTTGTATATTTGATAGTTAAATTACAATATCTTCCTTTTAAAAAGTGTCTCAATTCCAATTTTATAAATTTCTCCATTTAGATTAATTTGCAAAAGCTAATGAAAGGACTCAAATGTAGTTTAGCATACACAATGACTGCAATTATAACAAATACATAAAATTAAAGGCAATTCCAGGGTTCAGGGAGGAGAAGGAGAGCACAGTGGCTATGGACACAGGAGGGCGACACAAGTGATCTTATGATACAACTATTGCCCTGGACGGTGGCAACCACATGAATTTTCACATGATGAAACTGCACACTTACATACAAGTGCCTATAAAACTGGTTGAGAATCTGGATTGATGGTATTAAGGTCTCTTTCCTAGTTGTTATACTGTACTGTAGTTATACAAGACGTTACCATGGGGGAAACTGGGGAAGGGGAATACCAGATTTCTCTGTATTATTTCTTAAAATGGCATGCAAATTTACAATCATCAAAATAAAAAGGGTTTTAAAAATTAAAGGCAACAAGCAAAATGTACAACTGGAAAGTATCACCTTCAAAACTTCTCTCTCTGAAACTCTAACTAAAGAACTATTCTCTCTAGCTCAGATGATTCTTAACCAGAGACTCAGAGGGGTGAGGGAACACCTAGGGTGTTAGAATTACTGCCCAGATCCCCATTCCCTGAACATACACACACACCCACACCAGAACTGTCACCATGGTGAACCACAGATTTCAGAGGAAGTCTATCTATCATCAAGTGCACTACAACTAAGAAAGTGGAAAACCACATTTCTAGCTACTTATCTTCACAAACACTTCTAACTGGCAAGGAAAATGCATCTAAGAGTAACATGGCATTTTACAAGTAATTTATAATAAATTTCTCATTGATTTGCCCAAAATTAATCATTCCTCATGGAAATGTACTTAGTCGACATAAAGAAAAATATTCTGTTCATGTAAGAACTAAAGTATAAGTTTTTTCCATCCAATAACTGATGAATTTTCAGAGGTATATCTAGACGTTAAATATCTATCCTATAAATCAGGGAACACAATGTTTATGAAGCTGTACAGTGTGTGGCCCTGAATACAGTTTGGTTCAGCCTATACAAGAAGGCTTGGCACATCAGCAGCATATCCCAATCAACTAGGGGGAAGAACCAGAAACAAGCAGAAGCCAGAATGAGACCAATTCCAGATGTTTTTTAAAGTATTTGCTAACAATGAGCCCTAAGAAAAAAATCTATGGTTATACCATTAAAGTTAAACAAAAGTGAACCAGTTGAGTAGGAAGGCAACCTAATTTAGTATCTGAAATAGTTGTATCAACAGAACAAAAAAATAAAGTCATCTCATTACTGAAAAACTCCAGAATTGTAGTCGTTGACAAAATGGCGTGTGTGCGCCCCTGCATCACAATCTAAGGGTATGACAATGGAAAACAACTATGAAACAGAATGGTACAGCCAGACCACTGAACAACTGCTTGTAATGGGGATTGTCTACCACGTACTGCTAAGTAGGAAGAGGGATAAATCAGTATGCACAAGATTCTAATTTTTAATTTAAAATGATACACATAAGCTTATTCAGAAAAAAATACTAAAAAACTATAAACCCGCAAATTATTGTTTTTAAATTAGTTTTTTTCCTTTATACTTTTCTGTTTTGTAAGTTTTCTTTGGTGAGTACACACTACTTTTGTAATTAGGAAAAAGGGGGAACAAAAATTATACCAATAAATATTTTAAGCAATATTTACAAAGGTGATAGAACAATATAAAAATGAAGCATATATATGAATACATCATACAGACATATGTATAATGATTATGACTATTTTAAAGAAAAAACAGTTGTAGAAATTACACCAAAATAATGGCAATTGTGTTTGAAGGATAAAATAATTATGGGTAATTATTTTTTCTTCCACTATACTATGCCTTCAAATATATATATTATGTAAATTAGTGGCTGGGCATGTGGCTCAGTGGTAGAGCACTTGCCTAGCATATGCAAGGGCCTGGGTTCTATCCTTAGTAGAGGGAGGAAGGAAGGAAGGAAGGAAAGAAGGCAAGCAAAGGAAGGAAGGAGGGAGAGGGGAAGCAAGGGAGGGAAAATAAAAGAAAAATGTATTATTGTAAATTTTTAAAATTAATGAACTTATCATCCCTGACCCCAAATCCTCCTCTTCACTGTATCCTGCCTCCTAAAACAATCCAAAAAACATATACATGCACACAAACCCACGAGTACTTACATGGGCTTACATCTCTGTATCTGTTTCGATTTCTGTTTTCTGGAAACTTGGCCACTCTATGAGGATAGTCATGGGACTCATTTCGAATTTCCTTAAAATAACAAAAATATATTTTAATATCCCTCTTAAATTTTATACAGAAAAACATATTTTCCCAATCAGTGTGAGAATAACACTTATTAAGGACTATGTATGCCAAGCATTGTGCAAAGCACATGGTCTGTCATCTCTCTTAATCTTCACAACACTAAGAAATAATCCTCTTCCCCATTTCATAGGTGAGATCTAAACAATTTGCCAAAGGTCAAACAGCTAGCAAGTGGCAGCCCCCAGAACCAACCAAGATCCTCCAGAGGCCGCAGCCTGTGCTCTCTGTCTACTAACTGCTTAGTACAGGCTCTATTCAACGCAAAACACTTTATGTACAGAATTAATGCAATAGAGGTATCTGATATCTCACACTCGAATTCTTACTAAAACTATCTTATTACATCTAGCTAAATTCTTTGAGTGTTCATCTTTAAAATTCTTATATATTTCTTTATTTTAATGCTACATAATTAATTTGAGAGAAGAAACAGCTCCCAAATTTACTTCTAGAGCCATTAAGGTTAAGTGATGAGCAATAACCACTAGGCCTGAGGCCTAGATCTTTAAGGTTCTCTATATTCCATTGGGGAAGACAATCTATGAGGTGTGTCTGCACTAACCACTAAGCCACCTGGCAAAGCCAGCACTGCCAGCTTTTACCTTCCAGAAGGAAGGTTATTCCAGGAATCATCAGGTGAAAACAAACACAGCCCCCCACCCACACACACAAAAAAGTATGCTTCAACTATAAAAATTAAATTGGGGTTTTGCTCATACTAGTACATAGAAGAACAGGCATTTAAAAGTTAGGTTAGCTGACAGTTTCATACATTAAGCATAAATAAATAAATTATTCATTTTATGATGGACACTGTTATGGAGGGTTCCTTTCTCTCTCGTCTGCAACATCTACCCCATGAGCCCCAGGGCAGGTAAATTTCTAATTCATAGCTTTACCCTTTTGGCCTAGTACAGAAATTCGATGGTAAGAGTCAAAATATTCTCTGCATACATTTTGTTAAACTTCAACGTAACTTCAAGGAGCACTTAAACTCAATTTTGAGTTCCTGGTAACTCAAAATTTTTTTTACTGAGGAAAAAGAAGAGAAAAAATTTTATTTTTTTTCTTGAATATTTATTTATTTATTTTTTAAATTTTTATTGTTAGTTGTTCAAAACATAACATAGTTCTTGACATATCATATTTCACACAAAAAATTTTATGATTTATAATAATTCATGGGATTCATGGTGTAAACAGGATGCCTATAAACTGTAATCACACCATAAATCCAAGACAAACACAAATTGAGTAAAGTTTTATTTTTATTGCAAAAATTTTTCATTAGTTTTCCCATAAAATAGTTGCTGAACCTATTTTACCATTATTTTCTTTTCATTGTTTCTGTTCTTGACTTTGTTTCCCTCTACTTTCTTGGGGTTAATCTCATTGACATTTTATAACTCCTCTTCCAAGTTTTTATTGATGGAACACGACACACAAATTTTTAACCTGAACTTAATTTTTCTGTAAGTTAACAAATAATAAGAATACTCTTGTAAGATATACAACACTCTATTAGCCTGAAGTGTAACAATTGGAATTTAATTTTACTCTTTCAAAATGGAAAGTCAATTGTCTTAATATCACTCGATTTTGGTTTTATCAGTAATATTTGCTATCATAAACCAATTTCCACACATGCATGGGGTCTGTTTCTAGATTCTCATTCTATTTCACAGAATCATGTTTATCCTTGAGACAGAGTCAAACTTTAGTTACTACAAATTTGTAATTCGTGGAAAGGCAAGTTGCCCCTATTTATTCTTTCCATTGTGTTATAACTCATGATGTTTTAATTCATTTTATACTTTTCTTAGTAAAGATACGCTAAAGGTTTATTCTGACAAAACTTATAGCCTTTGTTGCTATTGCAAATGGAATTTTTAAAAAATCCACCGGTCATTGCTAGTGTATAGGGAAGATATTTTTTTTGCGGGGGCGGGGGTACCAGAGATTGAACTCAGCAGCACTCAACCACTGAGCCACATCCCCAGCCCTATTTTGTGTTTTATTTAGAGATAGGGTCTCACTGAGTTGCTTAGAGCCTTGCTTTTGCTAAGGCTGGCTTTGAACTCATGATCCTCCTGTCTCAGCCTCCCAAGTTCCAGTGTGCGCCACTGCATTCAGTCTAGGGAAGATAGTTTTTGAGGGGCTACAAAGCAATGGACAAGCAGGACAGGACACCAGCCCTTCTTCAATACTTCTTTTACACAAATACACCCATTTTCCACAGTGAATCCCAAATGTCAAGTTTCTGATTACTATACTTCGCCTAGAAAAGCACACTTAGCTGTGTTCCCTCTAACAAAAAGTTACCAATGTTGAAAAATAAATAAATAAAAGAGGAAGGGCTCCAAATATAGCAGTGGGGAAAAGATTTAAAATTTACAAAACAATGGAACAGCCAAATCCTGTTCTAAGTCCTTGGACTGAAGAAATAATCATAATATAAATATGTTTTATTTTCCCAGGTTAATAATTAAAAGAACTCGTACAGTGAGTCCACTGTTTAAACCTCCAGTGTTCCCACTTGTTCTCCATACCTTTCTTTAATTTCTGTGAACTTGGAAAGATAAGGAACCTCAATCAAAGCTTTAGAAGGCACACTAGCTGCCTATTCCACTATCCCTTCTTTCTCACTAAAGAAAGACTTCTGATTTTATTTTCTGATGAACAATGGACCCAACTAAAAACCTGTATTTCCCAGCCTTCCTTACAGGATAGTCTGTGACAAAGTCTGGCTAATGTGAATAAGCAAGATCACCAGGTTGGGCTGCAGAAGATGCTATTCTGTACCAGCTATTCAGGAAGCTGAGGTGGGAGGATCACTTGAGCCCATAAGTTTGAGACCAGCCTGGGCAACACAGAAGACCCTGTCTCAAAAACCAAAACAACATTAACAAAAAACTGGTTCAGCAGACCCTTGTTCCTCTCATCGAGGTCTGCCTGAAATTCGGGTTTTGATGTTCTAGAGTAAAGGGATGGGACGAGGCATCTTTGTGACCACAAGGTCAACAGCATATTCCAAGAAAAGCTAAACAGAAACAGGGCCAGATTTGGTGACATCAGGAAATCAGAGCAGCAGCCCTGAATTCCTATCTCCAAAAATCACATCTCATGAGAAATATAAACCCCTGCTAAGTCTGTTATTTTATTTCCCATACAGCTAAATCAGGTCTTCTAACTAATACACACAGCACAACCAAACTTCAATAGTAAATACATCTAATACGGATATGGTACTTCTCAAGGCAGAGAGCTGAGTTATTCACCAGGAATCACATACATTGCAAAACCAGCTCTACTGATGTTTTGATGCTAAAAATGTCATCTTCTACAGCAGAAAACCCACAAACACTGCTCCTAGACACATCAAGATTGCTTCCCGTCAGCAGTAAAACTGCTAGGCCAAGGTTTCTCAACCTCAGCACTACTGACATTCTGGGCTAGGTCCTTCTTTGTGGTGGGGGCTGTCTGGTGCATTCCATGGTGTTTAGCGGGTAGCATCCCTGTCCTCCCCAGTACTTGTCAGTGGCAACTCTCCAACTGTGAACCCCAAATCTCTCCAAACACTGTCAAATGTCCCTGGACAGCAAAATCTACCACAAACATACATACCCCCATCAACACCCAGATGAAAACCACTGATACCTTTATATTAAAATAGAACTTAAATGACAAGAATCTTTGTTTTAAAGTATAATTCAACCAAAAAATTTAAATCTAGTATTTTGAAAATATAATTTTTACTCAAAAAAGCAAGGAATAATTGAGTCACTAGTTATTTCTCGTTTAACAGCAATGATCCAAAACATAGGCAATAGACCCACAAAAATATCTTTCAGAGTTATTTACAATGTTGAAAAACTAGAAATAACCTAAATGCCTAATGACAGAGAAAAGACAGTTTGAATAAATCATGGTACATTTTTGCAAAATATTAAAAAAAACCACACACAAGTTCTCATGTCAGCAGTAGCATAAACTCAGTTCTTGGAATGATAGTATACAACATAAACAAGGGAATCACATCTGAAAATGGAACTGAACTATTAATTGCTATTTGGTAGAAAAAAAAATTCACTTAGCTCCTTAGCTGTATTTAAATTTTACATACACACGGATTGCCTATTTTAACAATGTGCATCCACTTCTTTTCTTCAAAAGCCTAATTTTCAGGATACCATGAAGAAATCCACTCCAATCAGTGGTCCTATAGCTTACCTCTAGGACAAAGATTCTCAGTTCTTGTTATATCTAGTTCTTTTTTGAGGGGAGAGGGGTGTTTCCAGGGATTGAACCCAGGGTGCTCTACCACTGAGTTACATTCCCCAACCTTTTTTTTTTTTTTTTTTTTTTTGTATTTTGAGGGTGAGTCTCACTAAATTGCTAAGGCTGGCTTTGCAATCTTCCTACCTAAGCTTCCTGAGTTGCTGGAATTACAGGTGTGTGCCACTCAGCACATGCCTACTTTTAACAGATCTACTTTCTTCTATTACTTTGCTTCTTATTATTTTTATACACATAACATTCCCTCTTGAAATTTATTTTTATATCATTGGCTTGAAGTAAGGAGCTATACTGACTCAACTACAGAAACAATTCTGCTATGCTCCAGTAATTCTGGGCTGAAATGCAAGACTTGTTCTTAAGATATTTTCTTGTTATTCAGTTCAGCTAATCTTCATTAAATAAGCAATGACTGTGCCTAAAAGTACTACCTAAGAATTTAGGGATTCCCCAAAAACTCAGGATTTATGCATGAGAAATTTCAAAAGTGTAGTTCACATAAAAAGTCACCAGCATAATTTCAGTTTTCATGGCAAGAGACGAGACAAACAACTCTTTTCCATGAGGTTCACAGAATTGAGGTAGCCTACCTTCAAGCAGTAACTTACAAAATCCTCAAAACAACTTGGTATTATAGAATGGTCTCC